TTGCAATGAAGCAATAAAAGATGTCGAATCAAAAACAAAAGGAAGAAGTGCAAATAATAGCAGAGATTGTGCAAACCAAATTGCAAAACCCAGAAAAAGGGCAAGTTACTGAATGCTACCAGATAGATATGGCCGCCTCTGAATTTTCTCTCCATTCCTGTTTTCCTAAGCAATCTCTTCATCTACTACTAGCATCACGGAATGGCTGAGCATTCCGGGGAAAGCCGAGCAAACGTTGTGGGTTTTGAAGGGAGGGAACTAAAAAGTCTTGGAAGGTCTACGGCCATGCTACCCCGAACAAGCCCGATCCCATCTGATCTCGGAAGCTAAGCAGGCTCGGGCCTGGTTAGTAATTGGATGGGAGACCATCTAGGAAGACCAGGTGCTGTAGGCGTAAAAAATAAAAAATAAGGGATCGTAAACTGACACGGTCTGTGCAATCTGTAAGGTCAACCAAGGGTTGCCTCGCCTAAAAAAAATAAAATCTTGGAAGACGAATGAGGCAGGGAGCCGTAGGCATGCTGAGTATGAGAGAGAAACACCTGCTACTTTGCTTCCTGCTTTCTCTGGCTGTTGGTGCCAAGTGGTAAACGGAGCTGATATCTGTCACCGTCTGTAACTGTATATCACTCTGATGACCATGGGGACACAAAGCACTGGGAGAAGAGGGCCCATAGGAATACTGCTCTCTCACACCAGACCCCCTCAAGCCAAGAACCCCATACTGGTCCATCCCTGGGGTCTTCTTTCGAGGTCCCCTGCTCACTGTAACAGGTTTATCACTATAACCATCCAACGTCTGAGAAGTCGTATGGGTAAGTGGCCAGGGCTCATGACTCATGCTGCTGGGTATTCGTTTTCACTGGGTAAGGCCCAAATATGATCGTATGATATAATACGGTAGGCATCGGACTTAGACCATTTAACGCCTCCCCTCCCTATTTTCTTATCTGGGGCTCAGAGAGCTTTGGGTTTTTTTTTTCCCCCTTTGTCTAAAGCCATAGATCTTGATAGTGGCAGAATCTGACCCACATACTCCTCCCGACTACATTTTATGTGTCAATGGCAGACAGCCGGTGCCGATGCGCTGATACGAGAGTCTGCTCCGAAGCTCGCGGACCGAAACCAGTGTCAGTGAGCTACGAGGATCCAAGCGGTCAGCTGGTGTCAGTGAACCTGTGCTGCCAAGTGCAGCCCGGGCAGGTGTCTCCTGCATATTTAAATGCATTAAAGCTTGTTTTGTCTTACTTTTAAGGAAAACACCCTTCCCTATTTCTTCGATAACACTATTCTTTTTTGTGGATTTGCTATTCTGTAAGAATGTAAAATCGACTCTCGTCGGCGGGACAGGGCCATGCTTTCGGGCAGAGGTGGTCTTGCAACCTACCGAGCCCATACCATCCTGGCAGTTGGCCTGGCCCCCTTATGGGTCCAGGAGGCCTTCATTTCCTCTGTCTCTTTGGATGAGAGGCAATTTGGGGGGTTTGTTTTTGGTGTTGTATCAATCGTTGACAAATGCTTAGTTCTCCTGTAAAGTACCTGAGTCCAGAAAGGATAAAAGTCAAGAAGATGAGATGGGAACAGCTGTAGGGTCTGGGCACCCCGGGCAACAGGAAGTCACCAAAATACAGGCTCGGGCAGAGTTTGAAAAATGCCTTTCTGGGAAAGCCACCATTTCGCATGTCACCGAGCCTCCCCTGGTCCACGCGGGCCGGATGTATGGGTGGAGAATGGGGAAGATTTTTCTTTCTTTTTTTTTTTTTTCCTAGTAAAGGCGGGCCGCTCGGACTATGTGATGCGAAAGGAGAACCTCTGGGTGCTTCCGAGGATGGAACGAAAGGCAGGCGAGAGAAAAAGAAGTGGAGAGATAGGGAAAGGCGACTATGCAGCTCCGAGGTTCTGCCGTGACGGGCCACCCCGAACCGCGCAGCCACAGCTACCAAAAGCGTACTGCCTCGTATTTCCGGGCGTTTAACTTCAAAATGTCCGCAGAGTCACGCTTTCTCTGAAGGCCCTGGGGAGGACCCTTCCTTGCTGGTTCCTAACTTCTCGTGGTGTCTGGCAATCCTCGGATTGCCTTGCTTCATTTCATAAGCATCACTCCAAACTCTTGCCTTTTGCATTTCCCTATAAGCAGCAAGGAGACACCAGGCTGCACCTCCCACACCATGCCTGGAAATCTCCTCAGCTAAATGCTCGAGTAGGACATAATTCAGCGACTCCTCTTCCACTTCATAACAAGGATCACCTGTCCTCCAGTGTCCATTCCTCACTTCAGTCTGAGATCTCCCCTAGGACGTTCGGATTTCCACCGACCGTCTCTTCACGGCACGATCCCATCACGCGCCTCCAAGTTCTCCTTACCTCAAAACCACTTCCACATTTTAAGTTTTTGTGTTCGTTTGTTTGTTTCTGTAGCAGCATCCACGTTCCTGGGACCAACCATAACCCCAGGAAGTAAGTACTCCATTTTAAAGATCAGGAAAGGGTGAGCTGCAAGAGAGATTAATTTATCCACATGAGGTAGGCTGAGTAACGGCCCGCATCAAAGATAGCCACGTCCTAATCCCCAGGACCCATGAATTGTTACCTTATTGCAAAAGGGTCCTTGCAGATGTGATTAAATTAATGATTTTGAAATTAGGGGAGATTAGGGGAGATCGTCCTTCATTATCTGAGCAATCACGAAGATCCTTATAACAGACAGGCAAGAAGATCAAAGGAAGAAGAAGGTAATGTGATGATGGCGGCAGGTTGCAGCGATGTGGCCACAAGCCAAGGAATTCTGGCAGCTTCTAGAAGCTGGAAGAGGCAAAGGATACATTATCTCCTGGAGCCTCCAGAAACAACGTGCCCTGCTAATATCTTCATTTTATCTCTGTATAGCTGACTTAAGGCCCTTGACCCCCAGAACTGTAAGAGAATACATTTGTATTATCTAAAGCCACTAAATTTTTGGTGCTTTGTCATGGCAGCAATAGGAAACTGATACACCAAGGTTGATTGTCAATCTGTGAAAGAGCCAGGAGACTGTGAGGAAGCCTTGCTTTCATGTCCTGTTATTATTTTTCCAATATCTTAATAAGTTTGAGCTTTGAATTTATCTAGACCATAGCACAGGAAAAGCCCCGACTTCAATGAGGCAGACTCCCGTAGGATTTAAAGAAATGTCTTTTAAGAACCTCCAACCTTTTGGAAGATTCACGTATATCCATATTGCCGTGTGTGTGTGTGTGTGTGTGTGTGTGTGTGTGTGTGTGTGATACACAGAATAAAAGGGAAATGTGAAAAAGGAAGCTGAGGCTTTCTCCACGTTCCTGTCTTTGCTTCTGACTACGTGGAAGGAGCGGCATCGTCGAGAACGGGCACCTTCCTGGAGCTGCTGGTGGGGACCAGCCACAGCGAGACAGGTGGCACACAGCGGAGCTGTGTTGGGAGCTGAGCTAACTTGGCGAGCTTTGAGATAAGTGGCACTAAACTATTTTAAACACTCGGTGTTTTCCAAGAAGGGAGTTGTGAGAACTTCATTGTTTTGTAGGATGAGTAATTTGGCTGACCTTGGGTCTTGACTGCTGTTTTCTCATTGCGATGCTACAAGTAGTGTGTTTTAAATAAACTCGGGGACACAGACACAGACACAGCTTGATTCTGTGATCCCTCCTGCAATTCTGTCTTCTTTCTTTTCCTCAGTCCATGCTCCCCCTTTCAGGTACCCTCAATTACTTCGTCGGCTGGCTTCCGACAGAGCTGGAGGTGGGAAGGAGCTCGTAGCAATGAGGCCCAGGTGGACAATCCAGGAGAGGTACGAGGCACCCCGCCACTCATCACAAATCTTCCAGGGGACGATCACCCCCTAAGTTAGGGTTCGTTGGTGGGACTGCCATGTTCCAGGTGCTCCTCCGTGGCCAGTGGCCTCAGGGCTGTCAACATCCCGGCCCCGCATCCTACCCGCGATCTCAACGCATCTTAACTGTGGACTTGCACGTAGCACCTGGAGAAGCAGTTAGCTGGCCAGGGAAACACGGAAGGCACCTGCAGCAGGACACGTTTCCTTCGAGGAATAGGTGGGATGAAACGGAACAGGGCAATGGTAGAGATGTTTTGAACAGGAGACGTGGTTCTGGTTCTGCTGTAGACTCCCACATAGGCAGCCCGGTCAAGGTGAGCTTCACGAGTGTGTGATCCGTAGAGTTAGGACCCTGTGCTTACAAGCGCCCCTCCCTTGGTCGAGCGCCCCGTTGATGTCATCTTGAAATTCTTCATGATATTTAAGCAAAGGGCCCGGTATTTTCCTTCTGTGCCAGATCTCGCAAATTATGGAGCTGGTCCCGATCCGTGCCTTTGGCGGAAGTCGGAACACCGTTACCTGGGACCCCCACACCATGAATGCCAATAATTGGCCCACGGAAACGGCCACGAACACCGTCACTCCCAAGTCCAGCTGCTCCCCTCCGTGGGTAGCCACCCCGTTGTCCGCTACGTCCCGCTGCATCTGGCCCTGTCGGTCCCGCCGGCTTACGGGGCGACTGATTCGGTTTCTCAATCTAGTGAGCCAAAATGGATGATAAACACAATTTACGGTGACAACTAGAACATCTCGTCAACTGTGAGAGCTTCGACAGCCTGCCCCATCTCACGCGGCGTCCCCTATTCACTCAGTCATTAGGAGGCATGCCCAGAAGACACCGAGTCACAAGCCCGACTTCCTTCTTCCAGAGTCCCCCGCGGTCTCCCAGTGCACCAGGGACAATGCTCAGGCACTGTGCAAGATTCGTGCCATTTAATATGGGCATTTTTGTATCCGCCGCTCTGACCCCAAACGACAAATATTGCTTTGGAAGGTTCGTTGCGTCGGCAGGCACGTGGAAGGAAAGGTTTTCACTTGACAACACTGCAGCCCCCACCAAATGGCAGGGCAATATTCCTGTCTCTTTAAAGACAAGCAGTTCCTCTGTTGGCCCCACCCCTTCTGAGCTTGCTGGCTCAGAGGAATTGGAGAGTAGAAGCCTGTGTTCTTCATAGGTAAATCAAAAGCACCAGCTTGAACCGCTTCTGCGGAGAAAACCTGACAACTCCTCAACTCGCTGAAACAAAGGTGAGCCTGGCCAAGAAGAGGTCTGCCGAGCGACAGAGCTGTGAGGCCAGTAAGGTCCAGGGAGTGTGCCTGGGGGTGGCTTCTGGTCTGAGCAGGGACTAGGAATGTGCCAGCAGTGCCTCCGGGACGATGTGGCAGAGTAGTAGCGGTGGAGGGGAGCAAGGAGCATTCGTAACACCATGTCACTACGTCTCTCGTCCCGAACAGGACAAACCCGAGCCGACCAGCGCACTTTCCAGGCATTTGCTGTTGTGACAGACACACAGAGGGCTGCCTGATAAGCCATCCTTTTCCCTTCGTAGGAAATTAGTGTCCCCAAGCAGGTCCCTGGAATCATTTAAGGACCAGCCAGTCTATATCCTTCTTTTTACAGAAAAAAAGAAGCTGGATCCCACAGAGTATGATGACTCTCTGGGAGTTATTCATGGCATTAATGGCACAGGAAATCTAGAAGTCGGTTTGCTGATTTTTTCCTAATATTTAACAGGGAGAAGCTGTGACCTTCACAGTGTGACCTGTGAGGTAAGGAGGGTGCTGTGGAGGTTTTGTTGTTGTTTTTTTGTTTGTTTTGTCCCGAAGATATTTCTCACTAAAGACGGACAATGAAATTATTGTATTTTGAAGTCTCTCAGACCAATTCTTTCTGTGCTTCATCCACCACACAAAATGGAAGTATGTTTGTTTTATTTGCTTTTAATTTTTACTAGTATTGAAATATAAACTTCAATACTAGTATTAATATAAAATTAAAATGTAATTTTGTTGTATAATTATGAAACCGTCTACATGGTTTCAAGATCAAATCTATGAAATCTAAGGGTACTCAAAGACATCCAGTTTTAAGCTTCTAGCCCTGTCCCCCGCAACCTGTTTCTCCCATCCCCATATAAGTAACTTTTTTGTTGGCTTAGTTTTCAGATGATCCTGCCATTGCTTTCTTATGTATGTGAATACATATATAACATTTCATGTATGTAGTTGATATTCCTCCTTATTGGAGAAATGGTAGGTACACTCCACATTATTTTCTTCACTAATTTTCACTTGAGATATAATCCGAAGTTTTCTCCATACTGGTATAGAAAAATGCATCTCGTTCCTTTTTACAGATGGATAGTACTTCTTCGTGTGAATGCACCTCAGTTTATTCAACAGTCCCCTCCCGATGGCCATTCGATAGGTTTTTGGTCTTTTATGCTATTATAAATGATGACGCGATGAATAGCCCTAGGCATCATTTTTTTCTGTTTTGTTTGTTTGTTTGTTTGTTTGTTTTTGGTCAGTGTAGCTTTGGGATGAATTCTAAAACTGGGATGGATCATCAATGGAAAATGCATTTGTACTTTTACAAAACATCGCACACATCTCTTCTGTCAGTTTTGGACCTTTTTTCCATTCTCACTAGTGACGCAGGAGAGGACCTGTTTCCCCCATACCTTTAACCAACGGATTATGCCAGCAAACATTTGGGGTTTTGCCAAACGTGTAGGTGAGAAATAGTATCTCATCTCAGAAATAGAGGTGTAATTTTAATTTATTTTATTTAGTTATTTATTTTTGTGCGTGTTTTGATTTCATCTCTATTATGAGTAAATGTTAATATCTTTTTATATATTCGAGGCATATTTACGCTTTTTTTCTTTGAAATGTTTAACGATATCTCTTGCTCTGTTTCCTATCGAGTTGTTGGTCTTCGTTTCTCTACTTTTAGACTTTCTTTGTATAATAGGAAAATTCACCCTCTTTGGTGAGTCTACCTACCCAGATAGAGTTGAATTGTAAGCAAATGACAATTTTTTTTGGAAATTTTTCTTCCCTTGCTTGACCTTGGTGCTTTAATTTGTCTATGGTGCTTTTTTGCCTTGCATTACCTTTTAGATTTTCATGTAATCGAGTTTATTAGTCCTTTTCTTACTCCGTTTTAAATCTTAGAAATATTTCTCTCATCTCCAAGTTACAAAAAATGGACCCATGTTTTTTTCTATTATTTATATGGATTACTTTTTTACATTGAAATTTCTAATATTTGTCATTCGAATGACATGTGGTAATGAATGCAGATTCATCTTTTTCTGTATGGTTATATAGCTACCCCGACGTTGCTCATCGGTCCACCTCTTTTCCCCGTTTCTGTGAGATGCTGCCTTATGGAATATAAATGTAACATAATATAACTGAATTGAATATAAATGAATATAGTGTGATCGATTTGGTGTATTTCTGAATTTTCTGTTTTTGTTTCTCTGCTCTCTCTCATCAGGCACCAGCATCACACTGCTTTAATCATAGAAACCACAAAGTTTTACTCTCCAATAAAGCTACCGATCCCTCTTCGTTCTGTTTCCTCATGGTGCAGGCTAATCTTTTTCTCCTCATCCAAATGAACTTTATAATAATCCATTATTTTAGCTGTCGGAGAAAAAAAGGCGACGACAAAATTTTACATTCATATTCTAGAAAATCGTGTCAAAGAAGTATCTATAAATTCCTGTTTTATGAAATGCTATAAACATGAGTCAGTGTTGAATTTTCTGCACCTAGGTCTTTTGCTTCTCGATCTGTCAATGGGACACGTAACAACCAATTTTCTCATGTTGAACCACCCTCGTATTTTTGAAATAAATCACACTTAATCACGGCGTATTACTTTTGTAGTGTGTGATGATTTATTTAGAATTATTGTATCGATATTCGCAAAGGAGACCCATCTGTAGCTCTAGCTCTAGTTATTGGTGAAGTCTTTTGGATCAATATTATACTTGATTCATAGGAAAAAATTATAAAGTTTTCCTTCTTTTCTTTATGATCAGAAATAGTCTAACTAGCTTTGAGACGATCAGATCTTTGAAGGTTTAAATGAGTTCTTTTGTGGGAAAAATTTATAACCGCTTTATTATTTTTTCCATAATAATTTAACTGTGTCATCTTTCTGTCTCCACTGGGGTCAATATGAATAATAGATTATCGTAAATGTTTGGGGAGGAAAAGGGAAAAAAAGAGGGCCGGAATGGCTTCCACACTGACCTAATTTGACTCTTTTTTCCCCTCTCCTTCTCTTCCTGAAAGGCTTGTGTGTTCCTAAACCCCAGACCTCTTGACGCGAACATGGCCGGCTGTCGGGACAACACGCTGAGGATTGTGCTAGTGGGGAAAACCGGAAATGGGAAAAGCGCCACAGCAAACACCATCCTTGGGAGAAAAGAATTTGATTCTAGAATTGCTGCCCACGCTGTTACCAAGACCTGTCAGAAAGCATTGCGGGCCTGGAACGGGAGGGAGCTTCTTGTCGTTGACACCCCAGGGCTCTTTGACACCAAGAAGACCCTGCAGACCACCTGTCAGGAGATCAGCCGCTGTGTCCTGGCCTCCAGCCCGGGGCCTCACGCCATCGTCCTGGTTCTGGAGCTGCGCCGTTACACGGAGGAAGAGCAGAAAACCGTTGCGTTGATCAAGGCCATCTTTGGGGAGTCGGCCATGAAGCACATGATGGTCTTGTTCACTCGCAAAGATGCTCTGGAGGGTCAGAAGCTGAGTGACTTTATAGACGGTGCAGACGTGGACCTGAAAAACATCCTGGCAGAGTGCGGGGACCGCTACTGCGCCTTCTCTAACCACGGGGAGCCAGGCACGGCTGAGAAGGATGCTCAAGTGCACGAGCTGGTGGGGCTGATAGACAAGATGGTGCAGGGAAATGAAGGGACTCACTTTTCTGACGCCGTCTACAAGGACACCGAGGAAAAGCTGAAACGTATGGCAGAGCAATTGAAGAAAATCTATGCTGATCAATTAGAAAAGGAAATTAAACTCGTAGAAAAGCAGTGGGCTCATAAAACACAGCAAGAAAAGGAACAAGAAATAGAACGCATAAAAAAGAAATATGAAGAATTAATAAAAAATATAAGGGAGGAAGCTGAAAAGAATGTATTTAGAAATGTTTTCCAAAATATTCAGAGCTTGCTTTCGAAAATATGGCATCTTTTTTGGTAGTTATGTAAATCCTATTTTTTCTTCTTAATTTGCTATCATTTGTTAATGCGGTAGATTTTGCATTTTCCAAAAACGGCTTAATTTGCTATCATTTGTTAATGCGGTAGATTTTGCATTTTCCAAAAACGGCTCTCGTGGTATCTTCTGCACCACTTATTCTGCTTAGATCTCAGCTTGTTACTCCTTCTGTTGAGTTATGGTGTGTGTGTCTCCTACCTGACACTCGGTGGACATTGTAACTGCTCTGATACATAGTAGATGATTAAAGCCACGCCACGTGACTCCTAAGGTTAGAGAGAGACAACACGCCCCTGCTCTCCCGGGGTGCCTGCCCTTGGAACGCGGCCGCCATGTCGTGAGGCAGCCCACGGTGCCCACGGAGAGGCCACACGAAGAGGACTTGAAGTCACTGGCACGGCCCCCTGGCCGGTCTTTCATCTGCCAGCCGGAGCTAACTTGCCAGCCGCACAAGGTCAGCGACACAGAAGCGGCTTCCGAGGCTGCCAGTCAAGCCCCGGCACACACAGCTGCCAAGAGCGAAGATGAGCTATCCCCGCAGTGTGTCCTGCCCAAATCGCGCATTCGGGAGAAAAAAATAAACGATTGCAGTTGTTGTTAAGCGCTAAGCGTTGGGATGGTTTGTTATGCGGCGGTAGCTAACGGAAACGTCTGCCCAGCTCGTTCCCACCCCCACCCCCCATCCCTGCTCCCACCTGCCCCCCTCACGAGGCCAGCAGATATACGAAGTTACAAAATTGGCCCGAGCAGGCAATGATTGTCACATAGAGTTCAAAGACTCCACTTAGGACGATTGGAATGAGGATTCCTGCCCACGTCAGGCGCTAGCAGTACAGCTGGCGTCTGTCATTCATTTAGGCCAGGTCCGTGAGCCCTTCGCTGGTGAAGCATCCAGCTCCTCCTGCAAGATGGCTCTGCGCTTCACGGAGGTCTGGAAAGTCTCTTTCCGAGTGTCCATCTTTTCTCGCTTAGGTTTGCTTAGGTTCCACCCTAACTGGAAATGCCCCTGACGGTAACTTAACAGTCTCCTCTGGGCCAAACACTTTCGCTCGCCTCCGCAGGTGCGCACTTGGCCCTTCTTTCCCCCACCTCTTTGCCCCAGGAGGCTGATGTACGTGGGCCCCGTCAGTGGCATCTCTGGCCTCTGCTGATGGGAGGTCCGAGCAGGATGACTCGGGAGGAGAAGAGCGAGCTCAGGGTCTCCGGCCCGGCGGCCTCGCTCCCAGCAGGGTCATCTGCGATGAGCCGCGACCCGGAGCCGAAGGTCCCAGTCCCTCCCCTGCTCTCCACTCGCCCATGACTCCTTCTGGGAAGCAGTTCTCATCCGCCCCCTAGGGTTAGGATGCGACTTCCTTGCTGTTACTAACACTTCCCCTCGTCCTCGTTCCCATACCCTGTGTCCACAGCGTGCAGGCGGCCCCCACACTACACTGTCCCCAAGGACCTAATTAGAGCGGGCCATCTGTTCTGCTAGAATCCTGAGTGATCCATGGTAACGATGCCCCGTTTCTTTTCTCTTTCAGACATCCCCTGATCTTTATTACTGTTTTTATTTTCAATTCCCTCAAGGATAAGAATGATTTTCTTGGCATTATCCAAGCGGAATGTTTTGTGTTCATACCCGATGGGTCTGCTGCTAGTGTGTCGTCTTTACTGAGTCACATGAGGACACGAGTCAATGTCCTGAGGGAGCCGACCCCAGGCCAGGGGACTTGCTAAGTCCATGGTTCGGGTCATGGGGTTCTGGCTAAAATCAGTTGTCCTTGGTTTCGGGGTGGGAGTGGGGGGTTGACTTAACCTGAGTTTTCTCTTGCTTGTGCGTGTATTGTTGTGGCCCCCGCCTCTAGGGCAGCCAGACCGCCACCGAAGGAGCCACCTCCGTGCCAGTGAAATCCTCTGCTGACCACTCAGGGCACGTTGCAGAGGACAAGGCTCTGTAGCTGTGAGAGCCGGTCGCAAGGGGAGGAATGTTGGTGTCGGATGTGACAAAAACCTCAAGGTCTGGGCGGTTCTCACTAAATGCTAATATGTAGCACCATTTGCCCAAGGGCAGCTCGGAGGGGATGCACTTGGCCTGAGCAGTGACTGGTGAGCATAACCAGCTGCAACCCGACATGTCATTAACCAGGTGTCGGACAGAAGCGATGGCTACCCTCCCTTCAGGAGGCTGAACCTCGAAATGATTCGCCTGTCTCCTTTACTTGTCACCACAAAAAATGAAACTTTTTCTTCCCACAAGACTTGTGTTCCTTTGGCTTAGACAGTCCCAGAGGGGAACTCACGGTGTTCGGTTACCTTGTGGGGAGTGGGGGGTGGTTTTGAGAAGACGTGACCTCCAGTTGACCCGAAAGCTGGACCTGGGCAATGGGAGGCTCCCTCCCACCCCACCCCTTTTGTCCCCGTGTCCCTACTCCTTCCTGGGGTGTGTGTTCACCTTGCCTTTTCCGTTCCCAGGAGCCGCCCCAAAGACACAGCCTTGAAAGTGTCAGGTGCTGTTGAAACTGTCAAGATGTGTACGAGACTCAGCCTAGTAATAAGGGCTCTGCGTAAACTTCTCAGAGCTGGCGGGCAGGCGTGGAAAAGTCCTTGCCTTAGGGCCACCCGAGATAGGTCTTCCACGTTCCCTCACTCACAAAACGGCCACCTACCCCTCTGAGGCAGTCCTCCTCTTTCTGGGGTTCTCCCCGCCCTCCTTATGGGTGCTGGTACCCAATTACATCCTAGAGGTTTCGAACCAGCATGGACTTTTGAAACAGCAGTCAATATCTACGTTTAGGAACAAATACAGAAAATGGAGTATCGAACGCAACGGTTCTCATGTTCTGTCCTTCTTTTAAGAAGCGCTTGATTTTCTACAATTCTTTCTAAATCAGGATGTAGAATGAATGCACTGCCTCATTGCAGGAAATCATCATCATCATCGTCATCTCCATCACAGAGGAGCATTCTCAGTGCTGCGTCTGGGTGCCAGCCATTCAGCTGTCCACATCAGGGGACGGTCACCCTGTGTAGCTGGCACAGTCCACAAGCGGTTGCCGGGGCTGCGGGGAGGCGGGGCGGGCAGGCATCACTACAGGGCGTGAGGAAACATTTGTGGCCGATGGATAGAGTTGGTGTTTTGGTGGTGGGGATGATTTTGCTGGGGGATACGTATGCAAAAACGCATTCGATTCTACGTTCTATGTATATGCGGTTTATTATATGTCAAAAATACTTATTCATAGCTTTTGCCCATTTTAAATTGTGTCATCTTTTTATTCATAAGTTGTAAGAGTTCTTTATCTATTTTGTCCTTTGTCAGCTCTTTATCAAATATATTCACAAATTCTTTGTCAGATATGTGAAATAAAGCCAACGTTTCCTCCCAGTCCGTAGCTTACCCTTCTTTCTGTCATATACTTATTGCTTAAGACGTATTTTGCTGATTATTTTTCATTCTTGTTTTCCTAATATATACATTTAAAGCTAAAATTTAACCCATAATTACTCTTTTAGCTACATCTTGTAAGCTTTAAAATGAAGTATTTTAATTATGCTTCGGTTCTAAATATTTATCAATTTCTGTTACATCTCTTTTGATTCAGGCGTCATTGAAAGCTTTGGTCTACGGCCACGGCACCCTGAACATGCCCGATCCCATCTGATCTCGGAAGCTAAGCAGGGTCGGGCCTGGTTAGCACTTGGATGGGAGACCGCCTAGGAAGACCAGGGGCTGCAGGCGTAAACAAAACAAAACAAAAAAATAAAGCTTTGGTCTCCAATTGCCAAACATATGGCATTTTAATCCTTTATCTTTTAATTACACTGGGGTCAGGAAATATGGCCTATATGATTTCAATCGTAGAAAATTTTGAGAGCATTTCTTTAGGACAAACATAACACCGGTATCAGTGAAGGGCTTCCTGTGTGCTTGAAGACAACTGACTGAAATTTTATGAAATAGTCTATACGTGTCTTTTGGATCAAGGTCATTAATCCTGTTACTTCGGTCTTCTGTGTCCTTTTTGAATCGTTCTCTGCCTGCTCTAGCAATGACAGAGAGATGTGTTAAAATCTCTCGTCGTAAATGTTGATTCGTGTGTTTTCCCTTGTGATTCAGTTACTCTCTTTGTAAATGTGAGTCCTCTTTATGCGGTACGTGTAAAAAAAAAGCCGTGTTTGAGCGTGGCGAGGAGGACTTTGTAGCTGTGTCCTGAGCACGCTACTGAAATCAACCTGCCTTCTCCACTCACGACCCTTTTTTACCGCACTCACTCTATGATTTCCTTTCTTACGTAAGTGAATATCTTCCCATATATTTTTGAATTTACAAATTTCTTCCTTTTTTTGTTTATTTTCTGTCCTGTCAAGGAACACCGGGAGATCCAGAAAGCAAGGATATTTACTTGCTATTATTTGCCAATGTGTCCAAGTGCTTAGAACAGCGCCTGGCTCAGAATAGCTTCTCAATAAATATCGAATGAAGTCTGTTTCGTTTGAAATTTTTTTCTGTTTCAAATTCGATTGCTAGATTTGTTTAAATTCGATTGCTAGATTTGCCTCCGCTTCTGCTGTCAGCCTTTCCCTGGTGTCACGTTTTAGATTTAAAGTTCTTTTACAATCCCTTCCAAAAACTGTGTTTCGTTTTTTTTTTTTTTTAGACTGAAAGCTTTAGTGCATTTTTCATATTTATAACTTCTGATCTGTGCGGATGCATATATTTTTTTTTTTTTTTTAGACTGAGAGCTTTAGTGCATTTTTCATAATTATAACTTCTGATCTCTGCGGATGCATATGTAAGATTTTATATTTCGCTTTCTACTTGTCTAACCTGTTCCACAATACATTTTTTTTTTCCTTCTTTGTGGTTGAATTTTGATGCTGTGGGTATTTTTTTCACATTCTATTTTTCTCGTTACTAGTTTGCAAATTGCATACCATCTCCTAATTTTGTAGTGACCACCCAGCGATCGTAACACATATTCTTAACTTGTCAAAGTCTAATGGTAATCTGTATATTTATCTTCCTTTATGTAATAAATTACTTCAGAACATTTTAATTCCATTCCCACCCTCCATCTCAATCTATATATTTCTTATTGTGTATTTTAATTTTCTTCTTCTTTTTTTTTCTTTTTAAACCCTAGAGGCTGTTTCTATTACTTTATACTGGTGATCTTCCTTTAAACTTAGTTGTTTTTTTTTTTTTTTTTCTTTAACCTCTGATTTACTACCTGGGATGACTTTCCTCTTGCCTCAAGTACATTCTTTAGAAATTTCTTGAATGAGGTTGTAGTGATAGCAGAAACTCATTCTTTGCTGTATGAAATGTGCTTGTTTTACCCTGTTTTGATGTCCTACCACTGTACTGTTCCCTGTCCCAGTATGAATTCCTTCTCGATGATCTTTTTTGGGATTCGTTAGATATCTGGACTGACCGGGTGGGTGTATTTCATCAGTCCAGAAACACACTCAACCATGACTTCTGGAAAGACTTCTCTACACTTCTCTCTTCCACTCTCTCTTTATAAACACCATTTGCCAGTTTCGATGGCATTCTGGTCTTTTCTTTTTCAAATCTATCATCCACTCACCAATTAGAATTCACTAACTTTATGGAGGA